TATAATATTTATTTATATATATAATTTATTATAAATTTTCATTATATATAATAAACATATATACATTGCACGTTGTCTTTGCAAATAAAATTACCATAATTAAAAAGCAATGCAAAAAAAAAAAAAAAACAGAAAAGAGAAATGTAAGCAAATAGCATATCAACTTTCAAAAGTTGCGGCATTGCTTTACTTAACTCCGTGGGTTATAGTCACAGTGGGAAATACTAATTAAACTAGTTTTAAATAAATCACACCCACCTTTTCCCTTACAGGTCTTCATCACTGCACACTACACTTCACCACACCATGTGAACTCTCCTCATCTTTTTCCATAAATCATCCTAGTATCCAACACAATCCTAAACAAACATCATCACCATGCTGCCTCAATCCCTACATTAGATTTTCAAGAGTTGGATTAGACTCAGAATCCAAAGCACAACACAATCCTAAATAAACAACACCATTCCATGATGTTGGCTCAATCTCTATGTTAGATTGCTTTAAGAGTTGGGTTGGATGAGAATTCAAAATGGAAGGGTGTCATCCTTTAAGCTTGTAGCAATGAAGTGTGTTGTTCCCTTTACTTTGTTCCATTTTCTCTTGTTCATCTTCCCCCTAGTACTCTCTCTTAACTTAATTTCAGCTTTCTCTCCAAGTGGGTCTGCCAAACATCTCATAAAGTTTAACATAGGTTGGTGCCTCTTGCACATGTCTATGTAACATTGATTACAGTGAAAGTATTTCACAAATATAAATTGTGGTGATTGGTTAGTCATAAATATGTTTCCTCATAATTGTTTTAAACAAAACTTATTTACGATTATCCAATAAAATCTGGGGTTTTATTTTGATCATTTAATGCAAGATTCATTATATACATTTGCAGATACTATCGAAGTAAAACCTCAACTCTGATTGGAGAACACCAACCGTATCTTAGGAACTGTACCTAAGTTTTATGCAATTGTTTTTGTTTCTTCTAAGAGATGTAAAAAAAAATAAAAATTATAAGAACGTACCAATGTTTCATTTCATATTTAACATAAAAAAATTGGATGCAATAAGCTGATCAAATTGACAATTACTTGAATTTTGACATATTCCATTGTGGGAAAACAAGGCAAATTCTTCATTCCATAACAAATGATGCTGATATTTAATAAGGACATAGTTTATGTATGAGGATTATGCGTGTTTAGGCAAAATAAATACAGTGTTTTGTAACTTTTGTTCTCAGTTCTCACCTTGTCCTTTTTTGTTTTAAGGGGAAGAGAATTTGGGTCCATGGAAGAATGAAGTCACACAAATAGAACCACGTCCTGAAACTGAGGGTACTCTTGTGCTAGCAGCAAACAGGACCAATAGACCTGACATTCTACGCAGATTTCGACGTTACCATGGTGGTTGGGACATTTCAAATCGCCATTATTGGGCTGTAAGTACAATGATTCATTTTCATAATGTTCTCAAACGGATGACACTGATTTATTATGTTTCTTCTAATTCCAATTATATATGATATTCTGGTATGTTTGCTCCCTGCATGCGATAAATTATTAAGTGGTTGGTGTGGACTACATGATCTTTAACTAGTTTTTACATGCCATATTGACATGTAATCAAGTGTTATTAAATTTTTGTTGTAGATTGAAAAATCTAAATACATATCATATAGTAATTGATTGAGACTGTGGACTCTTGGTAGTCCTAAACTACCTAATAATTTCTCCTTCTGAGTCTCTGATTTTTTTGCATTGTTTTTCTCTATTCTTGAAATGATATATTTTAGGTTGGGGTATTGTTCAGTTATGTTGTTCATCTATCAGCAGATTGTTTTTTACCTAATGTTCCTAACAGCATCCAAATTCTGGTTTTCACTTCAACTAAATTAATCAGTTTTAACCATTATTTGTTCAGTCTGTTGGATTCACTGGTGTGACTGGTTTCACCCTTGCTGTCCTATGGTTTATTTCATTTGGCTTAGCACTTGTGATTCATCTATGCTGCGGATGGGGAATTAACATCAAGGACAAAGGATCAAATCGTTTGCAAAGAATTTGTCTAGTGTTGCTGTTGTTATTCACCTGTGTTGTAACGTAATTCTCTTAACTTTGTTTTATGTCTCTTTGTTAACACTTCATTAGAGTGCTTGATTTCCTTATTCCCACCTTCCTTTCCTCTTTTAACCATAAACATATATAGTTTGTATTCGCAAATAAATACATGCGTTGGTGATAATTTGCTGTAATCAAATCATTCAACTGCTATGAAATTTTAATAATCAGCATTTATGACATTTATTATTTGTTAGTTTGTTTCCTGTAAATTCATTGTTTGAACTCAAAAACATGGATGATTGAAAAGGAAAATATTAAAAAGAAATCTAGGGCCAAGAAGTATCTTGTTGGGTAAAACACCATTCGGATTTCTAAAAGTGTATATCATTAGCATTTTAGTACCTGAAAGTAAGAAATTTCTAAATAAGTTCTTGAAAGTTCTAATTGTTTCATTTAAGTCACTAAATTTAACCATTTATTGTAATTTTAGTTTCAAAATATATGTTAATATTAACATTCAAGTCACACATGTTTCTGAATTTTGGACTAAAGTAACATTTTACACTTTCATAAATTTTTTTTAAATTTCCATACTTTCAGGAACCAAAGTGTGAGCGATATACACTTAAAAGGACTCAAATGATGATTTACACTGTCTTGCTTACCTGTCTCTTGTGTAGTTAATCTTGCCTTAAGCCTAAACTTTATGAAGTTGACACTAGAAAGCAGTTCATTAACAAAAATGATGAAATTCCAATCCCTGGAACCAGTACTTAAAATGATTGATTATTCCATTCATTCAAGCTTTGCAGGTAAATGCTGCCTAATTAACCTCTCTTATTCCCACAGGACTGGATGTATTGTTCTTTCTTTTGGGCAGGATAAATTCCATGGTGAGGCAGTGAATACCCTCCATTATGTTGTAAATCAATCAGACTACACAGTGCAGACTCTAAGAAATGTTACAGAGTATCTCTCACTTGCCAAATCCATCAGGGTGGCAGAGATGTTTCTTCCATCTAATATCATGGATGATATTGACAATTTAAATGTGGATCTAAATACTGCAGCAGATACACTTTCTGAGCAAACAAATGAAAACTCTGTCAAAATACAAAAACTGTTCAATGCCGTGTATGCTTTCATAATGTTCAATCTTCATTAATTACAAATTAATGTTGGCATGCATATAGTAACATGATCCACTTTGCAGGCGACTAGCTTTGATCATGATGGCAGCTATGATGCTTCTACTAGCTCTAATTGGATTAAGTATGTATTGATTGGTGATAATTAACATCTTAAATACCTTGAGCTTACTTTATAATAATATATTCTTGCTCATAATTTCCTTATATGTTTTCTACAGTTCTGTCTATCCTTGGATATCAACATGCAATCCTCGTGTAAGTTATGATAATATAATACATTTGCTTTTTGCTTCTGTCTCAAGGATCATTTTCATATTTCAATATTTCATTGCAGATTTGTCATCAGTGGATGGTTATTGGTTGCAACCACATTCATTCTTTGTGGAGTGTTCACAATCCTTAATAAGTAAGGGCATTGGGTGTGAGATCAATGTAACTTGCTCATTAAGAATGATCTAGCTATATAGTATATATACCCTTCCTTATTGAAATTCAATTGTCTGGAAAAGTAATGGTATCATTGATTTCTCTATCATTCTATTTCTAATATTCTTTTAGTATTGACTAAAATTTATCGGAAACCATAGATTTTGTGGGTTTCAGATCTCATTTAATGAGTCATACTTTTTAGGATCTATTAAAATTTGTGATTTTTAATAAACTCAAACCAATAATAGAGAATATTAGAAGAAGAAAAAAAAGTGTTAGAGAGTGGGACCAAGTTTCTCTTATGTGAAATTAATTTCCTTAGTCATTTATTAGTATGTATGGGGCATGATTAATTTATTTGTATTATAGTGCAATTTGTGACACGTGCATGGCCATGGGAGAATGGGTGGAGAATCCACATGCAGAATCTGCCCTTAGCAATATCCTTCCATGTGTTGATCAGAGAACAACAAACAAGACACTTTTTCAGAGTAAACAAGTGGTTACGAATATTGTTAGTGTTGTGAACCGGTTCATCAATGACACTGCAGATGCAAGTCCATCACAAGGTAGTATGAACTATTACAATCAATCTGGACCTACAATGCCTCCTTTGTGCTATCCCTTTGACTCTCACTTTCGACAACGCCACTGTACGCCTCAAGAAGTTTCCTCGGCCAATGCTTCATTGGTATGCTTTTTGTTTCTCAACTCATTTTTCAAATTTGAGATGGGTATCAACTTGTTTTTGGATCAATCACCACTTGGTTAATGAAAATTGATCAATCACTTCTAAAGGAAGTTTGAAATTTCTTCAAAACATGGGATGCACTTAATATGTTTTTGTTTAATAAATAGTACGATTGCTAAGAATATTGATCTCCCTCCAATTCTGAATATTAGGAAGGTTGTTTACGTCATTTAATTTTATTAATTTTATCTAAAAAAATAATTTATTTTTTAAAAATTGTCTTTTCTTGAAACTTGATATAAGAAAAAAAAGGAATATTACAAATACATTCTCAATTAAATGAGGAGCATTTTAAAAATGATAACATTAAATAAAGTGAAATTTATTTATATATGATATTAACAAATATAAAAAAAAAAATCTTATATTTTGAAGCTTAGAGAGTATTATATATAATCAAATTTAGAATTATTCTTTTGCTTTATCTTTTTGTTGGTTGGTTTTGGTAGTCCATAATCAACTTTAAGTTTATTATTTCTTTTGGTGATTGAAATATTAGTATTTCTATCATGTTTGTCAAACTCGCGAGTAAACTTATAGAATCGTACGAGTTTACAAGTCTAGGGTAGGAAAACTAGTTAACTTGCTTCTGGAATCGTTTTCTGGTAGATTCCTGCAGACTCGGCTGGACTCGAGTAGAATCACTCAGAATCGCGAGTCTATGGACGAGTCCGCGAGTCAGCTTCAGGTTAATTTTTTGCCCCTAAATGTCCAAAATGACGTCGTTTCAAAGAGGGTTTCTAGCCTCCTCTCTATTTTCTTCGATCTCTCATTTTCTACATATAAAAAACCACACTCTCCCTCCCTCTGTTTTCTTCGATATGCCTCTATTCGAGCTCCCACGACACCTCCTAGCTTCGTTTTGTCCGTCTGACGCCGTCCTTGTAGCTTTCGACGTCGTCCCTGTAGTTTCTGACGAGTTGTTCATTCACACGTTTCCCTGCTCGTCCAGCACCGTTCATTCACCTTTGCTAGGTTGAGAGAACACTCGCTAAAAAAGTGCTTCATTTCCTTTGTTTTTACTCCTTCTTCAGCCATGCTATTGCTATTGTGTTTATGCTATTTTATTCAAACTTTTTGCATCCCTTCTTTTCTGGTTTATAGGTGCTGCTGACTGTGCTATTTTAATATCTTTGAATATTAGGTAGACTCTTACGAGTCTACGAGTCGAGTTTGACAACCTTAGTTTCTATAGAGGCATGATTGAGTAACAAAAAAAATACTTGACAGGATAACTACAAATGTGTTATGTAATTCTGATTTCTTCATGTCATTGAACAAATTTTATTTTATTTTTATGGGAAGTGAGATGCAAAAAGGAATCGCCAAAATTTACCCTTGTAAGATTGAATTGGTTTTTATATTTGTTATAGTTTTGAGTGAAGTACACTAACACATGAGATTTCATGAGATTAGTTAAATTCTCTTGTTTTGTTTTTAACGTTTACAATTACTTGTCTGCGTCATATTTTTCAAATAATTAAAGAGTTAATATAACATTTAAAGGTGTTACTATATCAATAAAATACTTATCAAAGAATCATAATTTGAACTTAGGATTAGGCCAACCAACTTTAGTGGTTTGAAAAGGTAGAACTTGCGTGCAATATCATGAAACATCAAGGATTTTGTATTTAATTTACTCTATAGTTTTGGTTTCTACTAATTAATGTGAATTCAGCTGAGTAAAATTAAAGACTAACAAGCTCAAAGTCATATGATAAAGAAGAAAAATTAATGGGTTAAAATTTATTTAGTTTGGGACTAATAATTAAATAAGTTCATTATCTTATTAAATTCCACTAAGAAGCCTAAAACACTAAAATTTCAGCTCATTAATCCTTCTTCTTTATCATATAACTTTGGGCTTGTTAATCTTCAATTTTACCGATTCACATCACTAATTAAGACGTACAAATAATTCATCAAATTCATTGTTTGTTTTTTTTTAGGTTTGGAAGAAGTATTTGTGTAAGACATCTGAAGATGGTGTTTGCAAGACTATTGGCAGGGTGACCCCAATGATTTACGTGGAGTTAGTACAAGTAGTTAATGAAAGTTATGCATTGGAACATTATACTCCAATTTTACTTGGCCTTCAGAATTGCAATTTTGTGAGGGATACATTCAAAGAAATTACTTCACGTTACTGTCCTCCATTGAACCATTATCTTAAGGTTATCAATGTAGGATTGGGCCTCATTTCAATTGGTGTCTTGCTTTGCCTTGTTCTCTGGATACTTCATAGGACCTTCATAGCTAAAAAACTGAAGAACAAATTCAGCAAGAGAAATTCGTCTTTGTCAATTGCAGTGAATGAAGTATAGTTCTACAATGGAAAATTTAGTGGAAAAAATATGATAAAAAAAAAACCAAGGTGAAGCGAAGCTACATCTTGAGATAGAAGACAATGTAGACAAACCTAGTATACAATACGAAAGTGTTCATAAAACGCATGAACAATTGCTTTCACGTTGTCAAACGTTGTCAATTGAAAATTGTTGTAGTTAAATTTTTTTTTTTTTAACTTTTGCTAAATTTGTAACAATTGTTTGTATTTAATAGCTATAGAAGCACATAGTGTGGGAAATCAATGCGTTATATATTATATCAGTTCATCTATTTTCTAAAGCACGAGTTATTTAAGTTACATGTGAACAACATGAAATTCTATCAATAAACTGTTTTTCTAATACCATGTTGTTCTTAAATACTTAATGTTTTAGGCTTTAAGCTACTAACCAGAGCATTCATGGCACCAGCTTTTTCTGTGATGTTGATAGCCAGGACGTTTTTCCTGTGAAACATACACAAGCCTTGGCAGTTCCTTGCCTTCCTTGTCCAGTGCACCAGCACTTCCTAGACATGCCCGCAAAGACAAGTCATGGTTCCTTGGTTTGTTGATTATCCAAAGTTTTGAAGAAAGACTAATTTTTGAGACTGAATTTCAACACCCTCCCCCAAGTTTGATTTAGAGGACCTAAATCAATAATAATTAACATTTGTTATTGGAACAAAATCCTAATGCACATCAAACAATGGCTAAACCTGAATCATTCCTGGATGATCATCAATGTTGTTCCCAGGCCATGGATTACCCATCTTGCATCACCCACCCCTCTTCTGGTTTTTTTCTGATCCTTTGCAACCAACACATTAATTTTCACCTTGAATTCTCCATACTCTCTCTGCAAATGTGCAAAGGAAAAACCCTAAAAGTCTCACATGGACAATAGAGCAACATCAAAAAAAAGAAAAAAAAAAAAAACTTTTTTCATGGCTTATCTATGTAGTCCCCACCTTCATGGCCCTGCGATCCTTAACAAATGTGGGTGCACCTTATCTTTCAAGTAATCAAGTATCTGAGAGAAATAAAACTACGGTGCCCTCGACTCAATGTTATACTTGTTACAAAAAGGAACCCATATTCCGGTAAACTCAACAGTTTCTGACAAGGTATCAAAGAGAAGCATAGATGCACTGTCATCTGAGACATAGCAGCTAACCTTCTCAACAGGATAATCAAGTTTCTTTCATATTATTGACACTCAACCACCACGTTTTGATGCATTTATCACCAAATTCAAATCCTTTTCATTAGTTTGGCATGGAAATGGAATCTTCATCAACTCCTCCTCCTCCTCCTCCGAAGTTCCGCTTCAGAGACCACTCAGAACCGGAATCTGAAAACTCATCGGAGCCAAGCTCCGGCGTCGTTTCCACCGTGACACCGTCCAACACTGATCCCGATGATGCCAACCTCCAAATTGAATCCGTCGTTTCCTTCCGTGGCCCAAATCTGACACACCCACCACCCATAGCCACCCACACCGACAACCACCCACACCAACCACCACCCTCCGCAGTTTGAATCCGACACACCCACCACCCAAGCTAACAGCCACCCACACCAGCCACCACCCTCCGTGGTCCGAATCCGACACACCCAACACCCACCACCCTCGACCCGCTGTGCCCCGAGAACGAGAGAGAAAGACAGACGTTGAGAGAAAGAGAGAACGAGACAGAACGAGAGAAAGAGAAAGAGAGAAGGCTTGAAGAGACAGTGTAAACGAGACTCCGAATCTACTTGCGATGAAGTATCAAATCAGTAAGGAAGGTGAAGTACAAATAAGGGTGGAACGGCATTCAAATTAAAACTTCTAAAAGGTTCTATTCTTCCTCGTCATAGCCACAATCTTCCTTTTCATCTATTAGACAATTAAGATCTGTAGGGTGTTCTTGGTCTGAATTGTCTTTAGCCGATTTACAAAGGGCTTCTGACTTGTTCAATCATCAACTTGTCCAATTGGTCATTGTAGCGTCGTAGCATCTCCTTCTTCTTCTTCTTCATAGTTCAAACAGAGAGGTTGCGCACCAGGTGTTTGATCAAATGACACTTTGAACAAAGTCTTTCTGTCTTATCGGTTTTGGTGTTGGAATCTTTTGCAGTGTTTCCTCATATTTGTTTCCTCAAGCTCTGGACATGCAGGATGCCATTCTAGGATGTAAGGGAGAGGTTGCGCACCATATGTTTGATCAAATGTCTTACTAAACAAGGCTTTTCTGTCTTAATCGGAGTGGTTATGGTTGCGTGATTCAGATTGCAGAACGGGAAAATGATCACGAAAAGGTCTCTAAGGGGAATGGAGGGAGCTCACGAAAATTTTGGAGGACACTTAAGAAAGATTCTGAATAATTCTACATCGTTTTTCTTCACCAATGTGGCAGATAATCAAGAGATCTCGGTGCTGTGGAAAATTTTCCAAAAATGGGGAAAGGTAGTAGATGTGTTTATTCCCAAAAAACGGGATAATCATGGACGAAGGTTTGGGTTTGTACGATTCTCTGGTGTCTACGATGTGAAAGGTTTGGAGAGGAGTCTTAATTCTATTGTCATTGGAGCACGGAGGCTAAAGGTCAACCTCACTCGTCATTCTCGAAATGTGAGGAGTAACAGTCATGTTGGTACGCGGATGCAAGTTAGTAGACAATGTGCCTCTGGCAGGGAAATGCGTAGCCATAGTGACTCATATGCGGACAAATTAAAAGGACAAACCAGGTTCAACGCTAGGGATTCAAAGGGAAATACGGTGGTATCCGCTAAGAGGGGTACTGAATGGGTGAGGAAAAAGGAGCCTTGGGCTCATCTTCATTTCTCGGTGGATGATAAGGTAATAGAGGATTGTCAGCGATCTTTGGTGGGTCGGCGCCATCGTCATATCCAGTTAGATACGATACGTCAAGAGCTATTACAAGAGGGTCTCCTGGATATTAAGGTGACAACGATGGGTGATGATATGGTTTTAGTAGAATCGGATGCTTGTGTTAATCTTAAGGATACAGTGTCACTATATAAACAACTTTGGGAGAGGTGGTTTTATGAGATAATTGAATGGCATCCGAGGATGGTCTGTGTACGACGTCAAACATGGGTACGTTGTTATGGCATTCCCCTTCATGCATGGTCAGAGAAATTTTTCATTAAAATGGTATCTTCAATGGGGGATTTCATCCAAGTAGACGATGATACACGACAGAGAAGGCGTCTTGATTATGCCCGAATTCAAATGAGTACGACGTATAAGGCATTGATCAATGAGGAAACACGGGTATTGGTGAATGATTTAGGTTTCTCAGTGCGCTTGGTGGAGGAACATGGAGGACAATTTCTGACAACAGAATGGTCCAGTGATGATAGCAACTCTGAGGATGCTTCCGTCGATCAGTCACTTAATTTGGAGGATGTGGAAAATTATTCCTCTGAGGATGATAGAGGAATAGAGGAACAACCACCAGAGATGATGGACAAAGCAAGTAGCAGCGGTGAGGTCTCATTGGGAATTGCCAATGATGATTATGGTCAGAATGGCATTGAGGGGGTTACGAAAAGGGTGGAACACATAGTGGAAGGGGTCAACGAAACTGCTATGGAAGATGGTAAAAGTACTGAGTCGGCCATGGAAGGTAATAACGTAATTGTAGGGGTTAGTAACAAAGGCACTAAGAATAATCATTGTGGGGCAGTGGGGAATAAGAAGAATCATATGGTGAGCCCGATGAGGGAGGTATGCGTTGACCAACATGTCGCAGTAGTTGATAATGGTTTGATTACCAATATGAGCAGGGTGATTCGTGAAAAAGAAGATGTGTCTAGTAGAGGGGGTGTTGTGGAGTGTCATGAGCCAACTATAAGAAATAATGTGAGAAACGCACTAAACAGAGCCAGAAAGAAAATGCAGATCCAAGGAGCACCTCAAGATTCATCATCATTGCCAAAAAGTTCTTTGGCTCCAGAGACTAGTGTAGGTGGGGGAAACTCTAAGGTGGTCCATTCAAATGATATTAATGGGGCCAATTCAGCTGCTAATGCAGAACGATGTTGTGATGAAGCCATGGCAAATCGTATTCTATCTATTTGCAAGAGTATTGGAATGGAGGTGCGTGGAAATGAAGATGAAGTGCGACAGAAGATTATATCCATGGAGCAGAGGGATCGTATGGCATCGGTTGATATAAGGGGAGCCTCATATATGCAATGAAAGTTGGTACATTCAATTGTCGGGGATTAGGGGGTAAAGTGAAAAGTCATCGCATATCAGAGCTTATTCGATCTGAGGAGCTAGATTTTATTGCTATACAGGAGACTAAATTGGAGATGTGTGATACTGCTCGTTGTGCTCAATTATGGGGATCTACAAAGTTTGAGTGGTTTGCTTCCCCTTCTCACGGTAGGAGTGGAGGTCTACTTTCAATTTGGAACTCTGATAGAGGTAAATTATTATTTTCGTTTTCTGGTTCTGGTTTTCATGGTGTTTGCTTGCAATGGGGTGTGGATGCGTATAGGTGTGTAGTGGTCAATGTATACTCTTCTTGTCACCTTGTGGATAAGCGGCGGTTATGGGGAGATATAATAATGTCTAAGAGAGGTTTTGGGAGTTGTTTATGGTGTATAGTGGGGGATTTCAATACGGTGAGAAGACTAGAAGAGAGAAAAGGGGGGTTTGGTGACCATGGTGCACGGGATATGGAGGAATTCAATTCATTTATAACTGAGATGGAGTTGATTGATGTACCACTGGTTGGCAAGCGATTTACTTGGTTTAGGAGTGATGGATCTATAATGAGCAGGTTGGATAGGGTGTTGGTATCAGAAAGTTGGAGTGCTCACTGGGGTGCAGGATTTGTGAAGGTGATCCCGCGAGATGTATCTGATCATTGTCCTTTGATTTTGAACCATAAGGTGCTAAATTGGGGTCCTAAACCGTTTCGCTTTAATAATTGTTGGCTTTCTCATTGTGGTATTGAGGGTGTGGTAAGGTCTGCATGGGAGAAACAGGTCCAAGGTCCGTGGGCTGCTCAAAGATTACGATCAAAGCTCTTGAATGTTAAAAATGCTCTAAAGAAGTGGAATATTGAGGTGTTTGGTAATGTGGATACCATGATAAAAAGTCTGACAAATGAATTAAAGGAGCTTGATGCGAAGAACGAGGAACAGGTTCTTATACAATCAGAAAGAAATAGGCAAAAGGAGTTAGTAGCTGGGATTTGGAGTGCTCGGAGAAACAAGTTAACCTTGCTAGCTCAAAAGGCAAGAATTCGTTGGGGTAAATATGGTGATCAAAATTCCAAATACTTTCATGCTTGTATCAGGGGAAGACAACGACGTAACCAGATTGTAGCCTTGAAGATGGGTGAGCGTATGGTAGAGGAGGTCCATGAGATCAAACAAGTAGTGTGGTCATATTTTGATGAGCACTTCAAAGCAAGAAGTTGGCTTAGACCACGATTGTCACTTGCTGGTTTTCCGGTGGTGTCTAATGAACAAAATGCAAGGTTAGTGGGTGACTTTACTGAGGAGGAGGTAAGTTGTTTAATTAGGGAGAGTGACGGTGACAAAAGCCCAGGGCCTGATGGGTTCAATTTTGCTTTTTTAAAGAGATTTTGGCCTCTTATGAAGGTGGATGTGATGGACTTGCTTGCTGAGTTTCATACTAACTTGAAGATTCCAAAGGCTCTTCTGTCTTATTTTGTGGCTCTGGTCCCTAAGGTTTCTTGTCCTCAAGGTTTGACAGACTTCCGTCCTATCTCCCTGCTGGGGTGCTTGTATAAAATTATCTCTAAGGTATTGGTGAATAGATTGCGTGGTATTCTTCCATCAATCATCTCAGAGAATCAGTCTGCTTTTATTCCTGGTAGACACTTGTTGGATAGTTTTTTAGTTGCTTCTGAGGCTATTGACTATGCTCAGAAATATAAGAAGCAAATTTTTGTTATGAAGATTGACTATGAGAAGGCATATGACTCCGTGGAATGGGACTATCTGTTGTTCATGATCCAAGGGTGTGGTTTTCACGAGAGATGGGTCCGATGGATGGAAGCTTGTGTATGTGGGGGAAGCCTATCAACCCTTGTGAATGGGAGTCCTACAGCAGAAGTATCTTTGGGTAGAGGATTAAAGCAGGGGGATCCGTTGGCACCATCTTTGTTCTTAATTGCTGCGGAAGGCCTCAGACTATTGATGAGTAGGGCTTCAGAAATGAATTTGTTTAAGGGTTTACACATAGGCGATGAAGGTCCTCCGGTTTCTCTTTTACAGTTTGCGGATGATACTCTGATTATTGGAGAAGCTACTATGCAGAATCTGTGGTGCTTAAAAGCAATCTTGCGTGGTTTCGAATTAATTTCAGGCATGAAAATTAATTTCCATAAGAGCTGCGTGGTCGGTATTCATTCTGGGGCAGATTTTACTAATTTGGCGGCTGCTTTCTTACATTGCAAAGTGGGTCAACTACCTTTCAAGCATTTGGGCTTACCTCTTGGTGCTAATCCTAGGAAGTTGTATACTTGGAAGCCAATGCTTGATAGCCTTCGAAAGCGTCTATCCTCTTGGAAGTATAAGCATTTATCCATTGGAGGGAGAGTGACCTTAATTAATTCGGTTTTGAATGCTATTCCAATTCATTTTGCCATTGTTTGATGTGCATTAGGATTTTGTTCCAATAACAAATGTTAATTATTATTGATTTAGGTCCTCTAAATCAAACTTGGGGGAGGGTGTTGAAATTCAGTCTCAAAAATTAGTCTTTCTTCAAAACTTTGGATAATCAACAAACCAAGGAACCATGACTTGTCTTTGCGGGCATGTCTAGGAAGTGCTGGTGCACTGGACAAGGAAGGCAAGGAACTGCCAAGGCTTGTGTATGTTTCACAGGAAAAACGTCCTGGCTATCAACATCACAGAAAAAGCTGGTGCCATGAATGCTCTGGTTAGTAGCTTAAAGCCTAAAACATTAAGTATTTAAGAACAACATGGTATTAGAAAAACAGTTTAT